CTCTCTCTCTCTCTCTCTCTCTCTCTCTCTCTCTCTCTCTCTCTCTCTCTCTCTCTCTCTCTCTCTCCTTCTCTCTCTTTCTCTCTGCCTCTCGCTCTCTTTCTCTCTCGCGTTTGCTCTCTCTCTTTCTCTCCCTTCCTTTCTCTCTCTCTCTTTCAGCTCGTGATAGGATTCGATTGAACACGAACGCCTTTGTAATTCAAAGTCTATCTGTTGGATTTTGGTCGCTAAGAAACTAACGTTACGAGCCACGGACGACGGGTGACGTCCGTCGTTTCGTCCCATTCATTGTGCAACGGGGGAGGGGGATAACCGAATATCCGTACGGTAACTTGTACTCGGTCCCGTGAACAATGGCGTGTTCACGTTTAAAATTTGATAAAAACACAGTACCGTTCGCGGACCACCGAGTTGCAACGATCAACTCGACAGCGAAACGAGCTGTCCCGCCTACGGACGACCGATCGACGCCCCGAGTTAACCCCGTCGACCATGCAACGAAGATATACGATCATGATAAATGCAACGCTAAACATCTGAAACAACGAACCCACCAAATGCAACAGGAAGATACCGGACCCGGTACGTTTGGATAGACTTTGAAATCATCTAACCTTGGCAACCCAAAAAGGATACAATATAGCTGATTCCTGAGACCCTCACGACATTCTCCGAAACAGTCTGATATGAGGAACCGTACGCAGAATCGTACGCGTTAATCGTACGCGAATTGAAGCCTCGCACGAACGCGGTGCCGTTAATGTCGTTTTAAGTTTCTTAAAATAATTTCTTTTGTTTTTTTTTTCTTTTTGTCTCTGTCTACCGTCGCACCGATCGCTCGGGGCGGTCTCTTCCCCGACGTGCCAAAGAGACGCCTCCTTAGGACACATCATCGATCAACCGTGGAAAATTACATCTATCTCGACTGATTTTACTTTCAATTTGTTCTCATCGGGTCGAGCCGCTTACAAAAGCTACCGGTTATCGTCTAAAACGAGGGCGCTGAATCAATTCTCATTTTTTTTACTCTCTCTCGCTCTTTCTCTCTCTCTCGCTCTCTCTCTCGCTCTCTCTCTCTCTCGCTCTCTCTTGTGAATCTAAAAACGATGCTCGTCGAGTGTTTGGTTCCGATTGTTCGTCGATACGATGCGCGTATATTACTAAATGGTTTGATCGATGAATATATATACTATACTTCGCGCGAGGCAGGTCCTGTTAGCTCCGTGAGGGAGAGCGAACCCCGAGCAAGCTGCGCGACTTAAATCGTGGACCATTTATCGATTAATCGAACGTATATTTCATTATTCCGCGTTTGCATCGTCCGTTCCTCCATCGTCTTGATCGCCGCCGCCGTCGTTCGCCGTCCCATCGACGTTGACCTCTGACTGTACCTCATTTGTCGCCTCTTCAGCTTCTTCAGCAGTTTCTTCAACTACTTTATCAAGCACTTCGGTCACTTCTATTCGTCCCTCGGACTCCTCTTCGCCTTTATCTTCCTCCTCTGGCTTTTCATTTCGATCCTCTTCAGGTTCTTCGACGATCCCCTCGATGTTCTCCTCTTCCGCCAGATTGCCATCATCACATTCTTCCACGATTTCCTCGTGGATCGAGACTTCGTCGTGCTGGAAAGCGTTCACCACCTTCTGCTCAATGGTGAGCTGCCTAACCGCGTTCTCTAGGTTGTCCTTAAAGTAGCCGCTCGATTCGTTCTCCGGGTCCTGCCACGTAGACGGCGTGAACGTCATCCGAACCGTTTGGTACAGCTTCACGAAGCCCAGCTTCTTGTACAGGCTCTGGCTAGCTTCGTTCTCCGGACGTATCACTACGAAAGGCTGGTAGCCCCTCTCGGCTACTCGTTTCGTCAGGTACCTGGAATTTCGTGATCACGAACTTAGAGTCTCTAACCCTTCAAGATTCAGCGTTTAAGGGATGAGCCTCGAAGCTTCCAGGACTCGAGCTTATCGCAACGCTACTATCACTACTCCAGTTCTAAAGTACTCTAAACGACAAATTAATTCAGTTGGATCTACCTCGTTAGCTATAATCGAAAAAGAAAGACATCTACCTTGCTAATTTCGTTCCATATCCCTTCCTCCGGTATTGCGGCTTAGTCTGCATGGAGAACATAGCTCCGTAATAAGACTGCACCATCCAGGCGGCCAAGCAATCCTTGACAAACACTCCGGCCGCCGGAAGTGAGCCGATCAGCCGCAGGAAGATCTCATGGCATTCCATATCGTTCGCTGGATACAACTCGTGGATAGCCTCCGCGTGTTCGGCCTTCAACGGAAGAACCTGGACATCGGGATCCGATTCCTCTTCCGGGTCCAGCTTCTCGTCGAGCTCCTCGGTGTTCTGGCATACGAACACGTCGCCCACCACCCTTTCGATGGTCCCGGTGTCCTCGTAGAGGCGTTCCAGCTCCTCGGCGATGTCGTGGTGTACGAAATTGATGTAAAGCGGCTTCGACCAGTCGATCAGAACGTCCTCGTCCCTGAGCAGCTTGAGCAGCTCCAGCCGGTCGTTGGGACAAAAGACGCCCACGCTCTCGTACAGCAAACCGTGGGGCTGAAAGTGGATCCGAGTAACCAAGTTAGAGGAAAGATCGGTCCCGGGACGAGGGGCGGAAGTTGAGAAAGGCTCCGCCGGCGGAGCCGCATGAATTATTTATTCCGAGACTTTGTCGTTTAACGTCAACGGTTTGTTCCATTGATTCTGGTGTGGGGTTCCTAGCGGAGCTGTTACTTCCAAGACGCCCGGGTACACGAAACTATTCAGACTTGACGTCTATTATTTCTGAAACGTAACTCACGTTTTCGTAATGAATACTAAAACACTGAAACAACTATTTTAAACTGGATGTCTTTATCTTTGTACAAAATTATTGGCAGGCCTACATGCTTTGGCAATAAGCTGGTCCGCTTTGAACTATCTTATTAGACACCTAGCCGCAATATCTCGTGCGTAACCCGGTTAATTTTGTTTCATACGGGTATCCCATTGGTTCTAGCTCTAGCTCCTGGAGACACGGTTGTCCCGGTATCCTTCGCGCGGGCTTCGAATTAATTCCCCGGCTATGCACGCGTATCGAGGGCGACCGCGCGCTTGTCAAACGTTCTGCGTCATAATTTCTCGCGGCGTCGGCGATAAATCCCGGCCGGGAAATGTCAAGGTTCGCGACGCCTTTCTGATTTATAAAACGCCGGGTTCGTCCCGCGGATAGGACACGCGAGGGGAAACACGGTCGAATCGACGAATCGCTGCCGCGGTAATTAACTAAAGAGCATGAACGAGGAATCAACTCGGATTAGAGGAGTCAGGAGCGAGGACAGGACGCTAACTGGCAAGCCCGTGGAAACAAAAGATTGGCCGGTGGCCAGGCAAGGATGTGGGCCAACTTTTCCGCACCCCCGCAGCGATGCCGTCCGAAATGAATTCGCGGGACGCACGCGAGCATGCAATTTTCCCGAATTCACCCGTGACTTTGTACTCCCGAAAACTTCGAGGAATCACGATCAAACGTTTTCTTGATATTCCTACGGTCCCCGTAAATCGATCACGAGATTTTCGTAATACTTTCGAAACTGGGAATCGTCATCGCTGAGCAGCGGACACGGGAAAGCGAAAGATTACGCGTGTACATCGATGTATCGTTCTCTGGAATTCACCAGGGGGTTTAAGCGCGTGCATTATGCCGCGGCGCCGCAGGGTGCTATCGATTGCGGTCTCCAGTAATCTGAAAAGTATAGAGGACTGATTTGATACTTACCGACAACGTCATGCCGGGGAAATGCAGACAGATCGCATCTTCGGGCCAGCCGTGCGCCACGTAGAAGTGGAAGTCCCATACCTTGTCCCGCGTGTACGTCAGCAAAGTTTGATGGAACTGCGCGGAGAAACAGATAGGGTCAAACCGATGCGTCTCGCAGGCCGACGAAGTGCGAAGTTTATTTCCCTCTCTAAACACGTCGCGCCGGACCCGATAAACGAGTTACGGGTAGTTACGGGGTTGCACGAGAATCATCGGCGGTCAGGGGTTGGACAGAGGGAAGCTAAGGCGAGTCGAGCACGACAGGTAATCCTTTTGTAGCGGAGCGTTCACGGGGCAATGGTTGCGCGATGCGAAACGGCTGGGTATCTTTTCATCTTCGCGGAAGAATTAGAAGAGCCTACCGGGGGGCAGGGTAGTTAAAGGGATGGTTCCCTTTCACGCTGCTGGCGCTCGCGCCCGCGCGCGCGCGAGTTGACTGGAGCTAGTGTCTGAAATGAAAGGGTAGATATTTACGAGGAAGCTGCAGGATAAAGAGGAACCTAGCCGAGGGCGACGCTCCAGACGCCGGGATCTTAAAATAACTACCACGTGCTACCTCTGATACCCTTGTATATAAAGTGTCCTCGTCCCGTTCCGCGGAAATCTCCATATTTTCTGCCGCCGGAGGAAAGAGGGGAACAGGTTTTCACTCGTATCTCTTTCCAAGCTCTTTCTTCCTGTATTCAAATATTTTCGCATTAGGGATCGTTCTACATTTCCAGTCGGACAATACCGTAGACGGAGGAAGACACCTGTTCCGGATCAGAAGAGCCGGCTCCACTGGCCCGGAATGATCGCCTGAAGCTCGTAAACGCGAGCATCAATCGCGGACACACGCGCGGCGGCCGTAATTTACGTGGCAACAGGCACGAGCTACTAACTCGGTAACAACCTGCTGGTTGAAAGTAAGTAAATAATCGACTGTGGAAGCTGTTGCGGAACGCGAATACCCTGTCCTAGATTTTATGTAACGGCTGCACCGTTCGGAATACCACCGTGTCATATCATGCGACAAACACATAGCGTCCTAACGATTTTCCGTGCTATACGGGAGAAAGAGCGTGCACCTGGGAAACGAGCGGAATTTTCGTAAAAGGAGGAGATGTTTCCTGGCTGCGATATATTGGAGGCCTGGGTGATGGACGGTGCATCTTGGCCTAGAAAGATCGAAGCGTAACTGCGATCGAGGTAGCAATATCTGGAACTGGCTCGAGCCTGGAATGGCTCGGGCCACAGTAAATTTAAGTAGCAATTTAGTAATATCGTGAGTTCGGATGTTATTGCAAGGAAACTCGCTGCAAGATTGCGTATACAGTATACCCTAAAACTTTCAATGGGGCACTTCATCTATCGAATGTCTAAATCAGTGATTTTAAACGTATCTTGCATCGTCATCCCCTTTTTTGTGCCAAGGTATTTTTAAAGTCCACATGCTCGCTCTCTTTTAAAACTTATTATACTGTTTCGTAAGAATGAAACTGTTCAACATAAACAACAATTGACTACCACTACAATCATCGAAAATATGCACACGCGTATAAAACTGGAGTATCAGTGAAGCAAAATATAAAAGAAAAATTAAAGAACAGTTAAGATTTAAGTACCACTACCTTGGCCTTTAACGCCCCTCTGAACGCTCCGAACGCCCACCGGCGGGCGGTACCGCCCACGTTGAGAATCACTGGTCTAAACCTCGCTTTTAGACCGCTTTAACGTCTTTTTTTAGGTTAACTCGAACCTAACCTAAACTTAATCCAGACATAATAATCCGCCATCTAGGTCACGCAGTGCCGCCATGTTCTTCTATTTTCTCCGATAATGATAACAGTAAAAATCTATACCGCGCGCAAAATTATAAAAACTGTAAAACGGAGGATAAAAGGAGGAACGTTTCAGCTCGCGAAGCATTACGTGCAATGGGATTTCACGCTTTTTGGCAGGGTTTTTATTAAATCAGATCCAGTCCTGAATCTCCGCGGACGAACTTATACGCGGGCAAGCATCACGCTGACACGAGTAACGGCCCCGTATTTCATATACGTACGTTTCTAACGGAAGATCGACGGCGCGAGTGGATTCTGCCTCGGAAGAACGGAGGAGTCCGTTGTTTTCGAAACAAACGGCGGCGTAATAAAATGTTTCGCATGCGGCCCGCGGTATGTGTAACCGGTTACGGATTTACATATCGCCGGCAAGCGATCTCGAAAAGGCGGCGAGGAAACCGGCGATGCAAATGGGAAAGCCGCACGAATTGTCTCAATTTATTTGGTGTCTTTGTAGCGAAAAGGGATCGTTTCGCGAGCGAGCGTGCGTGCGCACGCGCGCGCGCACACACACCAAATTAATTTCAAAGGGGAAAGTCGGCTCGCAATATCGATGCGGAATACGAAAACTTCGGCGATCGGAGGCGCGCCGGAGGTAGACTACGCACACCCTTCCGCGCGATATTTGTACCCGGGGTGAAAGTTAATTTCATATCGAGCCGGTCGCTTGTTTACCGCGTGAGCATTAGGACCGGCCCGTTTCATTAAACGATCCCGTTTCCGCGCGCACAAGAAAACGCAAGTTCGTCGTATCTTGAAAGAAAATAATCTAGCTTAAAGCAAAGTAGCTTCTGCAAATCGGTTTAACATTGCAACCACCGGTTACCTCAAAATGACCCATTTCCTTAGATTTCTTCTCTTCCAACTATCGTCAGAATACAGATGCTTTCGCAAGGAGTTAGTAAGTAGACGCGACACACGCAAGCTGGAATATAAAGTAACTTGAATGTGATAAATTCAGGTTACAACGAAACAATCAATTTGACTGGTCAGTGGTTCTAACGTTAATTGGATCAAGCTCAACGGTTTCGCACGGCTGTTCCCGAGCGAAAAGTCATGCAACCTAATTCGCCCGGTTTTAAGGTTAATATTAGAACTGCACGTGAACCCGATCCAGCTGCGGATAAACGAGCGACTTCATTATTTTCAATATTATAAACGTGTTTCACTTTAATTGAGCGGTGACTCGTCGTTGCCGCTGCTGCTGCTGCTGCTGCTGTTGCAGCTTGCACGCCTCGCGACTCTTTTCTTTTACGAGAATTAAAAGTGAAAAAGAAGAAGCTTTATGCCTCAACGAGCCACCGCGCATAAAGGGACGGACAGAATGGAGGGCGTGTTCCATCGGGAACGGAGGAACAGGCAAGGGACGTTGGACGAAGACACACGCGATCCTGAAAGTGCTTCATCAAAGCTTCTCGAATCATTATCGAGCTTCAGCCAGCGGCAGCTCGTTAAGTATCCTCGGCAGCGACGTGCAGGCGTGCAGGAAGGCATCGATTCAAATGCGGATTCGAAAAACCGACATGGCATCACGTGTGCGCGTCTGGACACGGCCTTGACCCTGACTCCTTGCCGGCTACACACTGGGCTTTATATGCCGGGATAAACGGTGCAGGCTGTATGCGCAATCATTTCGTGCTGGTCAGACATTACTGGCTGTGCTGTGGGTAGGCAACAGCGAAATTGGAACGACCGGGGGAATTCCGGCTCGATGAAAGGAAAAAGTTCCGATTGCGTCTAGGTTCGCCGGGGGAACTGCGTGATTTCTCTCTCCCTCTCTCTCTCTCTTGCTTTTTTCTTTTTTTAATGAAACGCATTGCGAAATGCGGGATGCGGTACTTAGGAACAAAGCCTCGAACGCCAGCCGCAGAGCTGCTTCTAAATGGAAATATTAAACAGTTGTCCGCGACAACTGTGCTCCGACAAGAGACTTTGGAATTTCATAAACAATTCAGTTCATAATTGACTACTTATCTGTTCACCGTGAATGCCAGCTGCGAAGCTACTTTAAAGTTGAAATATTGAATAGCGTTAGGAAATTGTGTTCCGAGGCGAAACTTCGGAACTTGATAAACGCTTGGATTGAAAGTTTACTAATTATGTAACACCAACGCTCAATCTTTAAAATAAACGTATGTTATCGAAATACATAGCACTACGATTACGACGAATTCGGAATTCTTTTCTTCTCTAGAGAAAAGTAGCTACGATGAACAGCGATCGGCAAGGCAAGGGATAGAAGATCGCGACGATTCCTTCTGGCTATTGCAGGCAATCGAATTGCAGTATCGAATTCCAGTGGACTGGATCTCTGCGACAATACCGCCGGCGCGAGATTACGAGACCGACGTCGAGCTGTGATCACGGAAACGCGACCCTGGCCTTGACTCCGGTACACCTTGCACATCGGTACCGGAATCAAGGTGGCGTGGCCGGCAGTCGTAACACCGGCAGTCCCACCTCCTGCCGCCGACGAGCAGGAAACAAAGCTCTTTTAGATCGATAACTCTCCGGGTCGAGAGTGAAAGGCAAAAGAGAGAGATAAATGGATGCCAGCAGAGTCCGACTGCAATCGGTTTCGCGCCACTTTCTACTTGGATTGTGAATCCAAATGAATGAATGTCCGGCCGTGGGTCTTACATAGTAACTTATCGGCGAGGCATTCGCGTCCGTTGGATCCTCCCATAAATTCCTATCGATTTCTACGCGGATGGTCAGACGAACGTTAAAAAACGCATTTAAATATCCGCATTTCATCGATAGTCTCATATATTCTGTGCCTTCCTTATGATACCAATATTGATACAATGGATTCTTAGGAACTACGTGCACTTTGGTCGAAAAGTATAATTAGAAAGTTTCAGTTTGCCATCGCCACTTTAGATTATTTTTCTAAAACAAATGTGAGTGGTTGCTTAACGATCCTGTTGAAATTTTCCAGCTCGTTGAGAAACAGCGTCGCGTACGACTGTAATCTACGGGTTAAGGTAAAGTTCTACCCGCGATTAAGAGGGTATCGACGGATCAACGGGGAAATCGTAGAATATTACCCGTTGCATTCGAGTCGGTGTTCCGAGTTATCGATCGCCGAGTTGCAGAACCGGCGTGGAGCGATACCGAAATCATAATGGCACCGTCGTCCACCGCAGTTATTGCCGTTACGCAACCGGCAGCCTTTGATGCGTGAAATTTCAGCAATGACACATCGCTACCTGTGCAATACCTTTCGAAATAGCCGTCGGTATTATCGAGTGCCGCGCGTCCTATTAAACGCCGCCGCGCCGCGACGACGTTGCAAAACAATGGGACCGAGAGTCCCATGGAATGGACGGCGCGGGGAAATAAAGGAAAACGAGGGGAAAAACGAGAAATAATAAAAGAGACCCGTCGGATTCGTGTTAATGGCGCGAGCCAGGTCGTCGACGTAACGCGCGGCTTGTTTACAAGATAATTTTAACGGCGAGATAAAAAGACCGGTAGAAAAGGACAGGCAAGAGTCACCGGGCAAATCTTTTTGCATCGATGTTAAATGAATCGTGATGAAGAGGTAGGCGAGAGAGGTTTATTGCGACTTTCTCTCTCGTAAACATGCTCGGTGACCGATTATCGCGCGCCGGTTCCTTGTGTGCGTGTGTGTGTGTGTCATTTGCGTTAACAGGTGTCCGTCACGGTGGCTATATCGTGTACGGCCGCGGTGATTTTCGTCGCGTGGAAAGGTTCGAGGCTTCGTTCGCCGGGGCAGCACGCGTGGGCGGCTGTGTCGGACAGCGGCGGACCGTGATCGATAATTAGACCGAAGTGCCGCGAGATAAACACGACGCTGTAATATTGTTATCGGCCCACTGTAAACCGAGCACGGCGCGGTGGAGATAGAAACCGGCCGGAAAACTGGCTGCCGTAGTTTCTCCGGAATGGAGGCCGTAGCTATTCGGCGCGCGATATAGGCTATCGGGTTAACGTCGCATTGTATCGCGGCACAATCGAACCAGTTACCGGAGGAACATCGTGGATGAACGAGGACCGTTTTGATGGCTGATAGGAAAATCCATCTATACGACTAGCTCTGTTTTGTAGACAGCTTTCAGCGGATTAGTTATTCATCGCGTTGACGTGGGTTGCTTAGATTAAAGCTGTAACACCCTTGCTTAGCAACTGCTGTATTTAGCTCGTGCCTTAGGCTGCAGGCAGGTCCGTAGTGTTGTATACTATTTGTTTAGGATTATTAAATGTGTAATAATGGCGATGATTACGTTATTTAATAATAGCTGACAGCGTGTATTAAGTCTTATTAAATTGATGTAATATTCTATGGATACGAAGATGTAGAGAATTTCGAATTCATGAATTTCAATTGTTCCTAGTTCGATGTGTACATACATAGATCATCGTCACGCGATCCCTGACTCTCGCTTGCAGTGCTGCAGGATAGCGGATGGCCGCGAGGGAAGCCTATAGTCGGGGGAACATTCGAGAGGCAGAGCCATCTGCGAATTGTCTTGGGCAATGACTTGGGACAATAACGGCGCCGAGCCGAGGGGTATAGAAGAATGCTGCACACCGTAGATTAAACATTTACCTTTTAACACCGAGTGAGGCTCATTATCAAGATTCCAAATAGGAATTAATCGATATCATTCGCTGCTCTTGGCAAGCCATTAACTATGAAATAGCAGTGATCAACGCAGCTGCGGAGGGAATTATAAAATATAAAGGCAACGCTATATTGGAGCTAGTACAGTGACTACGTATTAAAGAGGGACTCGGTAATTTTCCAGAAAATAATAGCCTCGAAGGAAGTTATTGAATCATGCAACTCGAGAAGGTGTTAAGAAAGCAGTCCACAGACGATTATCGAACGATTGAAAGTGACACGTTGGCAAACAAACGCGATCCTAGTTTAAGCCAGGCCAGCTTTACAACATTCTTAAACAGAAATATTAACCCTACCGCTTCTTCTCCTTTAGAAAGGAAATTCTCTCTAAAGCCAGTTGCCATGTCGACAAATGGACTCCGCGAAACGAACAATAAAGGAACGTCCAACGAAGTTACAGACACAAAGAACTCGCTTGACCTACAACCCGATAACATTCGAATGGCGGAATTAATCGACCCGACGTGCTAATAACTCGAACATCGGTGCTACTGTGTTGCCAAGCGGCGATAGAAAACATTCGACGGTGAAACGCGGGCTGAGAAGCGAGCATCGGTGCTCCGGTGGCACGTCGATCGTCGTTAAAATAAACACCCACGTGTTCCTCGCCGCGGAACGCCGGTGAAAGCGATAAAAAGCATCAGCTGTTACACGCATCGTTGCACGGCGGCGAGCGGCGTGTCGTAACGGCCGGGACGCTTCGCGATCGCGTAATCGGTGCACAAACGCGAGGGGCACACACCTGACCCGCCCGTCTGATCGGCAAAGGGGTTCGCAGTTCGGCTGGAAACGGCTCGGCCGACTGTGCGTCGAAAAAAAGTGCATCGCGACGGCGTTGTTCTCGTCGGGGCTTTTACGACGGTACGTGCGAACATCGGCGGAGGCCGGCATCCGGCCGCTGCGAAACGGCGTTTACCAGCTGCGACCTTGACACTAACCTAGCGCAACGGCCGACACTTAGACCGGGTTGCGGCGGAAATACTGCGCGAGGATCGCTTCCTCCTCCCCGGCAGTAATCTTATATCGTCGATGCGCGGCCTCGTCCCACGGGGACACTGCCGCGATATCGCGACACCCTCGATTCGTTCGCTCCCCGTTTCACGAAACTTTTCTAACGAGAGAGAAGTCGCCTTCGTCAGATCGTTTCAAGGTTTCTGTATCTTGCACGTAGCGGAAGGTAGACTGGCATAGGTCTTGGTTATTTCGGGAACATTTCTTAGGGGGAATGATTCCGAATAGGCTGAACATCCCCCTGTTCGACGAAAGGTCTATGAAATAAAGTTTGACGAAGGTGAGATAGAAGAACCGTGTGGAAAGTTGTTATCGTTAGGACTTTGCAAAGGTGATTTTTTTATTGACTATAGAACGCTGTTGGAATTATTCTTTGAACAATCTATTAACACTTTAATTGCTCTCGTAAAGTGTTTAAAGTCTGCTCTAATGCACGGCTTCTTTCAACCCCCTGTTAAATGTCAACGAAAGGTTGGATTGATTTTTCTGAAAATCTTAAATCTCTCACCTTTAAACTTTAACGGCGAAAACTACAGTACCTAGCTATACCGGCCTGGAATCCTTTATACGGAGAACCTCGCGTGTTGCTAACTGGTGTTTACCTCTCTTCGGTTTTTTTACTGCGGATCACCGGGAAACATGCTGCACGCGTTGTACAGTACTTAGCGACCTAACGCCTCTAGCCTTTAGCTGCAGAAACTACGATGATTTTCGTCGGACGCCCGAAGGCGTTATTCGCGGTGAAAGGGTTGAAAAAGGAGAAGAGCAAGGAGTAAGGCAACGATTTCAAAGTCTGACGCGTTGCGGCGTGTTATCGAATGGAACGTGAGGTATCTTCAAGGCCTCGGGCTCCAGGTCGATGATTTAGAGGTAGCAGTCAGCGGACAGGTGTTGTCTTTTGTACCTACGTATTAAATTCTTCCCACCGGGGTTGATCGCGTCGCGGTGGATAATTGAAGAACCTTAACCCAGAGCGACATTGTTCCCGATTCGATCGTGGATCCGCGTTGTTATCGTGAGATCCCCGGATCCCGGTCGTTCTTGTCGAAGACCGAGGTGTCGTTCAAGCCTTGATTCAACGGCGCGTTCTCAGCGCAACGAGAAGATAATATGGGCCATCTGATTAGGATTCCCGCATCGATCGCGCCCGGATTATTATTAGCCGAAAGAAAGGATCGAGCAGGGGCGAAATTGGGGATCGCTCGCAGTCGGGGTGAGCTAATTTGCACGTGTAACGAGAAGCGAGTCGGGATTCACCGTGGCGCGCGCGCGATGATCGATCGATCCGCGATTGAAACGCGCGTTAATTAGAAGACACGACGCGACCGGCCGGAGAGAGCACACGGATCAAGGAAATTTCGGTGAATCCCGGCAGCGCGTTGCCCGTAGGATGCATTAAAGGGGCTGGACGGGACCGCTGGCCCGCGAGAATGAAAGTACGAACGCACCTTTAAGGATTCAGGCAAGTAGTCGGCGAGGAAGTCCAAGAGTCGAGGCAACTCCTCCTCGGCGAGCAGACGAAAGTTCCGGCCTCGATCCATCGCCTCGGGGCACTCCATGCTGAAACTAATTACCGAGAGATCATTGTGTGAGTGGCACGAACTTTCGAACCCCGGCTCGGCCTCTCCGCCTCCCATAAAACACGTGACTGTGCCCGCGCCGCGCCGCGCCGGCCCCGCGAACTCGTCCGCCGCGGAATTGCTTTTTCTCCCCCGTTGATTTTCGAAAAGAAAGAGCCGCGATACGGTGAAAAAAGGAATAATAAAATCATCCCCCGTGCCGCCCACCTCACCCCTAAAAAAAACCGTGCACGGGACGAGCACACGGTCCCCCCTGTTCCGTGGACGGACGCTCGATTCGTTTGAACGCAGTTGTAAACAGTCGGGCTAACCCCGGTCGGAAGGGAATGAATCGATCCGTAGCACCGCGGAACGGTGTCCCGAGGAACAGGACGAGCGCGCGAGGAAGGCTAGCCGGCCTATCATTAAGCGTCATTAAAAGAACACGTTCCGGGGTACGTGCAACGGGGCCAACGTTCCCGCTACAGTGGCGGTTGCATAATTCCGGGCCACACTTTGAACTTTAAGAAGCGAAGTTCCTCGCCGTCACGAGACACGTCAAGCAGCCAGCCAGTTCTCCGCAACCCTCAAGGTCTGACTTTGACTTATCGCGTGAAACGCAGCGCGCACCGTGCCCGGCCAGACTTCTATCCATCATCGTTCGCGTTAATCGGTTCGACCTTCGGCAACGGGGAAACCGAGCGCAGCCCGCGTCTGCCACGGGCTGATAAATGAATATTAATTGAACGGACGCGCGGGAAACGCGTACCTGCGGCCGCGGTCTCGTAAGAATTTCGCGTCCGCTGGCCGGACTATCGTCGATATCGCGGAGTATAGTTAATAGGATCTTAGGCGCCGACCGCGTTACAGTTTCCGCGAAGTTTCCGCGGAATAGGGGTCGAGCGATCAAACGGTGCGCGGCGCTGGACACTTGGAGGCACTGGCTCAAGGATGCACGAGGACCTCGCGGCAGCGGAAAGCTCGATGGGAGATTTCGGTGCCGAAGACCGTGAAACATGGATCGGCGATATAGAAGGCTCAACAGAGGTAGTAATGAAATAAAGAAACCCTCGTGATTCGCTAACACGATGAACGACATGATACGTGGGCTTATGCGCCGTTTGATCCGTATGTATCGCGCTGAAAGCAATCGCCGGATTAGCGTCGCGGCGCAAGGTTCGGGGAATTACGAAACCGTTCAGGGTTCGAGGATAGACGGACGTGGAACAATTGCCGATCACAGCATCCCCGTCGCCAATATCGAGCCTTTTATCGACGAGTAGCGCGCGGCTGCCTCGGTGCAGAAGGGAATAGTGTCGCACACCGGTGTCACGGTAACGTCATAACAGAAGAAGCACTACGTGTCGAGGCGAGGGACGCACGATAAACAAGCCAGCTAGGAGAAACGGGTATCAACGGCAGGCGAGATTATTCCGCGGACGAACGGCGTCCAGACCGCGAACTCGCGATTCCCGTGAACTGAATCGCTGAATCGATTTACCTGAACGAGCGGCTGTCTTTGATCCTTCACTCGGAGATATCGGTGGAGAAACGGTTGTCACGATCAACGGACTGCCGAATCGTCGAAGGGAACGAGAATTAACGCGCGGCACGAGATCAGCCGTGGTTTAGAATGGTTGCGGGCTGTCGCCAAGGGGTAGTTCCAACGGAGGCACCCGCCCTCGCCGCCCCCTGAACCCGCACTGCCGCCCCTGGGCCACCGTTACCCTCCATGCACCGAACAGCGACGTGGTGGCCGCCGCGCAGGCGTTCTGCCGACTCATTGCTGTACTATTACTTCCGGGTACCCCGGTTCGTCTCGGCATCCTCGAGGGTTAACGCCGAATGCGGTGAATGCTGACCGCGTTCCCCATGGTTACGCCAAAATTGAGTAGTCGCTCAAGGCTACGCAGGGATTGCTTTCGTCGCATGGTTTCGTCATCCTATTGTTTCCCCCGATAATGCTCGTGGAGACAATGCGGATGAGCTGTCGAATGGTAATCGCGACGAATGTCAACGGTGAAAAAAAAATCGCCGGTGCATATGTTCCGTTTTTTTAAGGAACGAACAGAGGGTACAGATGCGACGCGGAAAGGAGCCGAGTGTACGAAACTACGTCAGGCCTGTTTGACCCTAGTCACGATGATCGATATTTTTGCAGAGATATCCTCGAATGCATAGTTAGATTTATCAACCCGCTCGTCTTTATTGTGGCCAACACGCAATTCCTATGCAACGCGTCGCCTCCGACGATACTCTCTTCAACCCCTGACCCTCTACCCTCGCAACTTACGACCCTTACGCTGTCCAGCCACAACGATTTACCCTAAGTTACGGATGCAGCATGCTTAGCGGGTGATGCGCTCTAGACACGTAATCGGGCTGAATGTTCACGCGATCTCGTGGACCAGATAATTCACCGGAGAGATTTAGGGGATGATCGCTCGTTCCTCTTTCCATAGTTGACACAATTCAATTATGTAAACGCGTATGACGAAATATCTGGAATGTATGAACCGGGGCGCAGGGAATCGGTAAAAATAGGGTATCTTTGCTAACCGTGCACCCCTGGAGCTCATCGACGTTGTACTGCACTGCGCCTAGCGTCGCGACGCAGGGAAGCACAGCTTCCACCGCCGCCTCTTCATTTTCACAGATCGATCCGACCGACTACTGACAGGAAACGTGACCAATAGTCTGCCTGTGAAAGTTATCCTACTGATGACGGTGTGCGTAAGTCAGGGGTTCGCATAGTCCGAGGAAAGTGTCGGTCCTAGAAACAGTGGTGCGTTTCGATTCTCGAGGGTGCATCGGCACGGTTTCTGGAACTCCGTGAAGATTAAGCATCGTATTCGAGGATCAGACACGCTGAAGGGTCACGGTGACTCATTGCTGAAGGGGTTGTATCATGAAATTCATAGGTCGTTTCCGTCGGGACCGACGTTCAGGATTTTTGTGATCCTGTGATGAATAGTAGGACTCGCGACGAGCGTATCGAAGCCACGAGGACGTCATTTTGTAAAGCGGTTCAGCACACTTCAAGGGGTCCGCTAGATCCTCGATATATATTATGACGTACGATACTAAAGGACAAATCGAAATGCACGCAAACGATCTTGTCGAGCCCTGTGCGTGACCCATTGACAATCCCCGCCGTACGAAGAGCGTTGAAAATTTAACAGGACATTCGGATACGCAAGGGTAACAGTGATATCGATCCCTGATATGTGGACGAGCTGCTTTCGTACAGGTGAATTCTATTCTAAGTAAACAATACCTTTTATTCGTTACATTTGTTCGAGCAATTTAACAGGTAGTAGTGGACGAACCGAGGGTTTAAATGTTCCCGCAGTTCCTCTCACACATGCGTCCTGCGTCTGGAAGCCGCGATCAGCCATCACACGTACACATAACCTCGAATTTCTACACTTTTTTTTATTACAGTAAAACTCAATTATGTAAACAAATGGTTGCCAGCGGTATTGTTTGAGTAAAGATCGTTAATTACGGTAGTCCATTGCTCTGGTGTATTGTAATATTCGGAGAAGTGCCGTATGTACGGAATCAGACTTAAGTAACTTAAGTTGTCCATTTTAACCGTGAAATAAGAGAACAAACTTGTATTTTATAATATTATGAATTCTTTGCGCCAGTTTTTATTCAAATGAAACTTCGAAAATGCGCACGATGAATGTACCTGTAAAGAACTGTTTTACGTTCGGACGACCACCACCACATAAAAATTCCTTTAAGTGGTAACCGTCGTTTTGAATTCAAAACGACCGTTACTTTGTGTAAAAAAATGAGAGTGTAATTGTCTCGTTATAGCTGAAAAGATTTTTACGCTGAGTAATGAATGTTGACTCGACGATTTCGAACTGGCATCGGCTTACACGCTCATTCTTTTTTTTATCGCAGATCGTATCATCAAAGATAACGATTGATATACACAGTTTACCTACACAGGACGCGTGCACTGATGTGCAACGACAGTTATTAGGCCCAACGTATTCACTAAAGTTACTTATTTCAACTTTTATACGGAAACAAAGTTGCAAAAATTCGGTGCGATTCAGGTTCGTTGCACTACACTTGGCTCGTATCGTGTGCAAATAATAAAGCTTAAACGGTTGTATTATAAACTCATGTCGAACAAATATTCTGTTGTCTTTGCAGATTATATTCATAAAATTAGTATGTCCAGAAGGAAATTCGGCGGCGACCGACAATTCGACAACGTGGATTATACACAGCTCACAGAAACTGACAATGGTTTTGTTGATTCTCAGGTAAGGCGAATTGTCTTAAATGTATGTAATAATAATACGTAAAAGTAATGATTTTTAAGTTTGTAAATCCACCTGTAAAAATACCATGGAAAGCTATTACCCTGGCAGCACTGTTATTCGTTGGGGGTACCATCATGCTCATCATGGGTAGCCTAATCGTGAGTGGTCACATTGACTCGAAGGTAAGTAATAAACATCCAGTTATACATTTATGCTACTTCAATGTAATATATAGCTGACACTTGATTTTCCAGTATTCTGACCGCATGTGGCCAATTATTATTCTTGGAATTTTAATGTTCATACCGGGAGCTTATCATATGAGGGTAGCAATTTTAGCGTATCAAAAAGTGCCAGGGTATTCCTTTGATGATATACCGGAGTTTGATTAATCATATGTGACTTTTTTTACTAAAAATAATTAGAAATTTTAACATTTTGCAAATGCTAAACTTGCACCACATTGTGTGAAGAAAAGTAAGTATTACTGGTATTGTTTAGACTTTTATCCTTCTTTGATTACACAAGAATTGTCACAAATTCACTGTGTGCAACAGTCTATGAAAGACTTGCAATGGTTACATATATTATTTCTGTACATAATATTTAATATTAAGTTATATTGTTTTCAATCTGTACTTAGACATATTATTAAAAAGTTTATTTTGTGAAAATGAATTGGTGATTAAAAGCATATTTTTTGCCATAGTATTTTTTTTACAGTATCACTCAAACTGTATAGATTTCTAATCTGTGGGTTGGCTTAAAATAAAAATGTTTTTTTTATGTAAAGCATCAGAAATATATGTGATTAATAAACTATTTTCAGTAGACATCGGTTTAACGTAATTAATGTACCTACAAAATAACTAAATAATAACCTGTAAAAAATTCGACTATAAATAAGAACAATATTAAATTATTCAATTGGAAATGTCAATATATTTATTTATAATTACATGATACTTTTAGGACGTGTTTAAAAGTATTGAAAAATTATAAATAAATACTTGTATACTTGTATATCTGAAATTATTATGAAGGTTATACATGATTGTACGATTTATAACGCAAAACACGTTTCTATGTAAGATACGTTAATCCATTGGAAAATAATCAACTTAAAGTCTTTCTTCCCTATTGAATTGTTCATAAATTAAATATGTTTAAATTCATCGTAATCAAAAAAACTCACTAATCGTTATAGCTAATGCGATTGTATAAAATTCTGATTGTGTTGTAAATATCTATAAAGGTTTACACTATTTAATTTCTGCAGTTTACCTTTCTTTCGCGATACCAACGAAAGAGGTGGATCAAATCGTTCTTCGAGCACTCTTTTCATTAACATTTTACTTTGCTCTATTTTATGCTCATACAGTATATTTATCCCTTCATCGTGAACAAGTTGTTGTTCCGAAGGAGTGTTCTGTAAATAAAAGTAATAGGGAAACTTCGACGTGTCCTCACAGACGTATCATAGTGAAAATTTACCTCAAAAAGGAGATACACGGAACATTGTTTTGGGCCGATACCATCCAATGCGTGTCCAGCATTTACTATTATTTGTTGCGTTAACATTAAAATCGTGAGATACATTTCTTCGATCGTCCAGTCGGATTTTACAATAATATGTACTACTGGATCAAACTACCCACAAAAAATGATGGATATTAACATGTTTACGACCAAGCACCACATACACGTGACACAACGATTCGTTTACAGTTGATTAACATTACTAAGTATTAACATATATTTGGTAATTATACCCTATTGCTTTGACTATAACAAAATATCACACATATATGACATTTATGTGGAATGCTTTGTGCGGTTTATGTACTATGTTTGAACTGTGTAAAAATAATATGAATAACATATCACGTGATACAATTGCAAGAAAGACACGGTTCATACGTGTGTATATCATTTTCGTTTCACAACTGCATACAATCTTATTTTTTCTAGTTGACCTACCTGTACTTTCGGGTACACGCCTAAAAGCACCGCACTTTCGTACAGTTCTTTAGCCAATGTCAGATCTATCCGAACTAATGAAGAAATCAGTGCACGATACGTGATTGTTTTCGGTGTACAATCGTAAATATCAATTAATTTCCCAATGCTGACAGTTAAATCGTGATCGTTGTTCGATAAAACTGTGGATATTACCTTATTCGCACAATTCGATAGATCTAGAAGAAGCAACAGATTTTCGATTTTATTCACAGGTAACTGATCGAGGGTACACCTAGAAAAAAACATCACATCTCTTACCTATTGGATAAAAATTATTGCTCTGATTCATAATTAAAAATTCGAAAAGATAATAAGCATGTTTCGAAGACGTTTCGCATAACATATTTAAAAGTACAGGTACTATCTGTGCTCTGATATCATCATCCCTTACATTATTTCGTACCTTCCACTTACCGCGATACGTGTAAATAATATTACTCTCTGGAAAAGATAGATTATGCCAGATTGATCTGTGTTTCACTACCACCGAATCCTATTAGAATCTTATCAGAGATAATTCACTAAGAGAAGTATAGAAAAGATCAACTCACGCTTAAGAAGGTTGTAAGCCTTTAAGGGTTTATGATTTGCTAAATAAATTTCAGCAAAAAGCATTAGAACACCGGCGTCGAATTTACATAAGCTACTTTCCTCGTGTAACAGAATTTCGATATTTTTAAGCAGTTTAAACGCTAGAACCCAAAGTTCCCTCTCGGCTAACGTGACCAGTATATGTATCGTGACGTCGTTAAATATCTTATAAAACGTCGATGATGCCCCGGTTTGGGCTGTAACGTCCAAAATAAATCAAAACTGATGTTAGGTGTAATTTCAAATGAAAGATCAACGTCTGTTTACAATAATTTTATTTGGTTCAAGTAAATCTTCATACATGACAATTTTAAGTATTAGTACGAGTATTAACAGTGTATCAGAAGGAACTATACATAAAGCGATGTTTATGCTTTATGCATTATGTTCTATTATGAATCGAACTCTATTCCTAGCTCTACCACTAGTTTGTACATAAACAGAAGTAGATACCATATAGTCCTTTCAAGATAATACACGAAGATACAACTAAATGGAAAGAAATGTTTTATTCTAAAATGATTAAAACCGAATTGCCTTATCTGCGATCTTTGGTCAAACTTTAATATGAAATTTAGATTATCACTAACAAGTAGAACAACAAAACATGAGGTAACGAAGTTATGTATAAAAGTTTTGCGTTAGACAGGTGGTTAATAAACACGTATTATCGATTATTATACTTTACCTGCAACTAAAGAGAGCATACTCAAGTGATATTCAGAACGCTCAACTTCATTGCGCAGAATATTATAAAAGGCACGAATAAATAGGCACACTTCATTCGGCTGCGCCGCGTCCAAGATATTCTTAATATATTCGTAATCATTTTGATTAAGTCCTTTCTGAAGACTGTGTACTTTCGCATAAAATTTCCCAAACATTTTTCTATCATCTACCGAATATGTATTCGGTAAATTGACTAGAAAAGTAAACGAGACGATTAAACAAATATACAGGAATCTACCGCATTCCTATGAAATTTTGAATCCGTTGAATATTTACCTATCCGGCGCAATCTAACCGGGGGAGTTTTATTTTGCACACTGTCTTTATTGCTAAGAACACCGTTCCCTCTCGCGTTTGGTATCGTCGTATTAACATCTTTGTTTGTTGTATACAATGCACTTTCCGGCTCATTCGTTACATTTGTTGGATTAGATAATGTAATTTTAATTGGCCTCACCGCTTCTGTTTTTTTAATTACTTTATTACCTTTTATCTCTTCGAGTATGTTATTAACAAGTGATAATAATCTTCCATCAACCCTTTTGCGGGTCTCATCACTGAGTTTACAAATGACAATATCATATATCTCTTGAACATACGTCTTATCTACTAAGCATTGACATAAAAGAATATGTATAACTTTTAGTTCCAGTTGCTTCACTTTCATTAATAGTGGTTTCGTTGTAGACCAATATTCTCTAAGTGGAACATAATTTAATACTATAATTAATATGTCCATCACAAATTTTACGTCTTTATTGTCTACTATTGCTGCTAAACAATTAATAATTACGTTCATAGTAGTTCCACTTGTTTTCAAGCGTGCAATAGTATCACTTGCAGTTTGGTTTGTTATAATTTTGGTACTGTGTAATTTTTTTAACATTTTTAGTTTAAAAGTGATATTTACACGACCAAAAAGACATTCGTTATAGAATTTCTTTAAAAACGCATCACACTTGTGGGATATCATTTGATCTATTACGTCAAAAAAATTTTGCTCATCTTCTGTATATAATTTTGTCATATATGATAAAAACTGCATTAAAAGAAAAGATTATATAATTACACAAAATTAATACACGTGGTGACAATAAATTACACAATGTTTTTATTAGATACATACTTGGTGAGAAAAACGACATGTACTACTTTTAGGACAATTGCCTTTTCTTATAATGCTGTAACAGTAACCCCCAAAAATATTGAGAAAGTGAACGGGCTTTTTGTTATTTACTACTCCTTCTGTACTGTTGTGGGTTTGTGGGTTTTGAGAGCATAGCACACCTGATTTGCCTTTTACCATTGGACACATAAGTTGTTTTTGTTTTTGTGAAATATTATTATGATTTATATCATTACCCTGATATGTCTCTGCAAATTCAAGAGAACACCTTTTGTAATAATTATCAAAAACTTCATCAGTCATAGTATAAGACTTCTTACTATACAAAAAATAATTATTTATTTTTTCTTGAACCGGAGTTCCTGAAATATCGAATCTGCAAGTATGAAGGAATAATATTTTTTAATTAGTTTCTTCAACTAGTTTTTTTTTATATAATACACAAAAAGTATGTACACTTACTCTTCTAGAAGTTCTGAATCAGCAAATAAAGAAATACAATCATCTTCATCAGTCGTGAAACTATCATCATTAGAATTTATTTGACTTAAAGCTAAAAATTCATTTTTTGAAGATGATTCAGATGTTTCTATTACTAAATCTTGCAAATTTTTTGTATCATTCTGTGTATTAGATTCTAGTATATTACTATATTCAAAAGTTCCTACTGAAATTTGCGTTGATGTACTTAAACTACCTTGCGTAATGTTCAAATTTCCTTCTGTAACTAACACATCACTAGTTCTCACTTCATTATCTTTTCCTGCATTCGGTATATTCAGTGTATCAGTACTTTGTATTATTTCAGGAACATTTATAGTAGTATTTGAAGCTACAACATTTATTGTGGTATTAGGATTGTTTTTCATATTATTAGTTTCACTTTCAACTCTTGAAAATTCACACCAATTGGTCGTAACCAACTTTATTTTTTTTACATTTTTGATAGTATTACTTTCATCATTGTTTAAACGTTTTTGTTTTTGCAAATTTGTACTTCCATTTAAATCATGCGAGATATTACGTGTTTCTGTACTCTTTTTTTCAAGTTCTTTACCTGTCTTTGTACTTTGTTGGATATCCACTAAAGTATCTTTCTCTATATGTTTAGAAGAGTAATTATTGCTTAATTCAAAACTCGTAAGTTTATCATTACAAAATTCTACAGTCTTATTACATTCTTTGTCATTCACCATTTGTAATTCATTTGTAGGTGATACTGATATCTCAGTAACAATTGGTGTTTCCTTTACATTTTTGTGTGAATATGTAACTAATGATACTAATGAATTTTTTGCCTGATCTATCATTGACTTGTTATATTTCGAGAAGAGTGTATTCTCAAAGGTACTATTTACATCTGTGCGTTGCATATTCCCTTGTTTGTACATAATGTCATTATTCTGTTGCTGTTCCTTTAAGTCATTATTAGTTTGTATAATAGAATTTTTACATTTTACAAATGCATTATTTATATGTAATTCTAAATCTCCTAAATTTATATCCATGTCACATTCCTGTTGTATATCTCTATTTAACTTCTCTTCATGTAATTCACTTGTCTTATTAGATACATTTATCACATTTGAATTCTTATCATACAATACAATTCTTTCCAAACTAACTTTTAAAGTTTTACCATTTCTCAATGCTTCAGCTTTGATATCTTCCTCTATTTAATTGAAAAAAATAAAATAAAATAAATTATTTAAGAAAAACCACATGCCG